AGGCAGAGGAACCGGAAATTAGGTTTCGTCATAGAAGACCCGGGGATTTGCCAAAGGTACTAGACTTCACTGGTCCTCCGAGTGGAATCAACAGATCAGCTGCTCCCAACATAAATTCACAGTCCTCTCCTTTTTCCATTTTCATTCTGTTTTTCCAACAAATATTCCAGATCTTGGTGCAAGAAACCAATAGATATTTCCACCAATTTCTGGCACGCCAAGATGCTCCAGGCCCCTCTGTTCAACCCCCTGACGTTACAATTGAAGAAATATATAATTTTTTGGCAACAATAATTCAAATGGGCCACGACCAACGGGACACCCTCAAAGATTATTGGTCAAGAGATGAGCAATACAACACGCCATTCTACCGTAACACCATGGTACGAGACCGTTTCCTTCATATTTTGAGATTCCTACATTTTGAAAATAATGAAGCTCCTCCAAATCGAGATGACCCAGAGTATGATAGGCTCTGGAAAATTAGAAAAATTTTTGACAATCTGAACAACAAATTTTGTGAACTTTACAATCCAGCAGAGCGTCTTGCTGTTGATGAAGTCATAGTGTTATGCTAGCCTGAATTATCACAGGTAATGAGTCTTAGGTTCACCATTACTAGCCCGAGACAAAGCACGCATCAATGCAGTGGAAACATCCTGCATCGCCTTGAGGCTGGAATGCAGTGAGAAGTATGCCTTCATGATAGGCGGTGCCATAGCTCAAGCGGTTAGTCGCTGGCTTCCCACTGCAGCGGCCCTGGTTCGATCCTGGGTCTGGTCAAGTGGGATTTGTGGAAAAAGTGGCGCTGGGGCAGGTTTTCTCCGATTACTTCAGTTTCCCCTGCCAAGCTTCATTCCAACAACTGCTCCACGATCACCCTCACCTATCATCTGGGGCTACTACAATAGGCAAGAAGTGGCCGCAGTACAAGGGACTTAGTCCCACCACACTAGCAATAAAAAGAAATGCCTTCATGATCCCAGAAGACTGTGAGCATCACTTTCCTGCAGGATGGTGTCACCTTAAAATTTTTTTTTGGCAGGCGACACAGGATGTTTCCACTGCATTGACCCACACTTTGTCTCGGGCTGGTAATAATGAACCCAAGACTCATCACCTGTGACAATTCGGGCTAGCATATTGCGTCCGTCATGGTAGCACTTGAGATGCTGTGATGCCAGACCCATTCTTTGGATTTTGTGTTGTGGGGTCAGTATGCATGCCACCCATCATGCACAGACTTTGTGAAAACCTAACCTGTCATGCATTATGAGGTAGGCCATATCGTATGAACAACCAAAAGCAGTGGTTATAGTTACCCTTCTGTAGGGAAGTCACTGCCTGGTTCCAACAGCAGCCCAGAGAATTTTATGCTGCTGGTTTTCAGGGGCTTGTGAAACAATGGGACAAGTGCCTCAATGTACAGGGAGATTATGTTGAGAAATAAAAGCATTTTTCAAATCAGTACTCTCATTTGTTTAAGTTCTATATCCATTTGTAACTTACTTATTGGCTTACCTATGTATTAAAAAATTTTGGCCTGAAAACTTCTAGGAAAGGGGTAACATGTAAAGTGATAAAGGAGACGGAAGGGTAACATGAATATGAATCATAAGAAACTGGATAGTGTTTGTGTGCGGTCTACTGAGCTGGTTATGGAAATGTCTCAATGGTGGGCTTTTGCATGGCAGCACAGGACATACTAGCACCAGTCAAACAACTTGCCTCAAAATGTATCCATGAATATTGAGACATGTCTAGTTTCTTAAAGTCATCCAGAGTGAGTTCAGGTAAGTTCTTGTTAGAATGGATGATTGTGCGTGATCCGGTAGTTTGACTGATTATGACTACAGACATGGGAGCATCACAGGCCTCATAGTAGATACAGTTGTTGATACATATGTTATAAGCCTTGAAGTCATCCACAACAACACTGAAAGGAAAAAGATATATACCGAATACAGAGAAAGCACCATTAGAAATCCAAATACAAAGTAGTACACAGCTCAGAACTGATGTCATGATCCAGTAATTATATAACAGCTTGCTGCTTTGTATTTTCAACACAGTCAGTTCAACATTTGTCCTAAGTAACAAGCTATCCCGATCAAAGGGCAGAAGCCACAACTGCTTTGTCCCAACTTACCGTCCATACTCATCCTGTTACTTCTGTCAATATTGCAGGTCTGCAATTGACACAGCATTGTAAAATTATCAGAGAGAAAAATCAGTCCAGAAAATGTTTATAATAACCTTCCCTATGGTTATAAAAATCCTGAAACTCTGTTCTTTATGGTGTATGTATCTGCAAAAGATGTGCTTGTGTGTACATACATTATTTTTTGTACTGCCATTATAAATAGAAAACCAGAAATTAAGGGGTATATTTTCTTTCAAAAATACTGTAGATATTTTACATATTTTTATGCATACATTGGTCCTTACAGGAGCCAACTGCAAACTTCTCCTGCTCCACTCTTCCTCATCCTTGATTCTTCCTTGCCGTTTCAGAGGAAATTTACCATCAACTCACGGTGAACTCCATGCCATCAGACCCACACTGCATTCTCTCTGGTCACAACATGCACGGATGACTTCTCAGGAGCATCAGCTGCAGACAAGTTTTTAATGCAACTCCTTGATCCTTATAAGGGCCTTCTGCACTACTTTCCCAGTCCACTGTCCTCCAATCCCTACACTAACCCCTTCCACCAGTCCTTTTTCAAAGCAGCAATTCGCCAACCTACACACTTCCACCCTGAAGATGGAGGCAGCATATGCCTTATAATACAAAATATGTTAAGCAGGAATATGCGCTACTGAGTGTTTCAAAGACTGTAAATGGTAGTGTACTCACCTTAAATACTGCTTCTTGCTGAGTGTTCCAAGGAACTCACAAGGTGCCCCTAACTGCGACAGAACTGTGCAATTGTTTGAAGCATTACCACCCCGCTGCAATCGCACTGATACACACCTGGAAACAAAACATCCTACATGTTCTTTCCATTAAAATTTCTCTTTCTTAGCTGGTATCTAAAAATTCCCACAGGAGACTTTTGTGCATTATTTTATGATGCTGTTAGTACCTAGACCATACAGCACTGAATGGTGGGACATCTCATGACCTAAAGAACTATCCTGGCATTTGCCTTAGGAACTGAGGAACACCATGCAAACCCTCAGGCAGGACAGCTGCTGTCCCAGCCAAAATACAAGCCTAGTGTTGTTGCCACTGGAATAACCTGCTTGGTTTTGTATACCCAAAATGCAGTAGTAAGTCTTATAAAACAAAATTCAAGTTACCATCTGAGCACATCTTCTTTATTGCCTGAGTATTCTGTATATTACAGAGACCCTAACATTTTGGCCTTACAAGACCATAATCAGAGGGTACTTTATTGAAAGAAAATTTTACAATTGTTCATAAAATTTTGAAACCTTAAAATACCTGGAGTATAATTCCCTTTAACATTAGTCTTATGTTATGTTACAATACTGTGATGTAGATTATACTAAGTGCTGTGGAATTGACCTCACTGTTTTACTATACTGTCCGGAGCTGTCTCATACACGTTTCCCATTGGTGTCAATGAACGTGAAGCCCTGTGACCATGTCGTGGTACCTGGGTGAAGTGTTGAACTGTTCAGGTACTAGTGATCACCACGACCAATACCTAAACAGTAATATGAATTGCAAAGTTTTCTTTTAATAAGGTATCCCCACCCCCACGATGGTCTTGTAGTACTGAAACATGTCAGGGTCTCTGTAACACACTATCTACTGAGGCAGTAAACGAGACATACTTTGATAGTAACTTACATTTGAGTTTATACAGATAGTACATTTGGAAATGAATCCTATCAAAAGTCTTATAATCATTCCAGTTCAATTCTCACATCAATCCAGACTGTACTTTACATGTAACACATGAACGACACAGATGCTAGCAAGCAGGGTCACCTGAAAATAAATACAGGGAAAACTATTTTCATTATTGTGACAAAAGGATGCAGGAAAAATTCAAAATACAACAAAAGATAAATCATCTGTAAACATAGCAATGTACCAGTACTCTGAAATGAGAACACCAAAACCCTACAGATGCAAGTACAGAGTTTCACCGAAATATGAACACACAAAAAAATATGTTTATTATCTTGTTAAAATTATGCACAAAAAATTCAGACTACAAAGGGAGATAAATCCTTTATAAAGGTGCAGGGTTCCAGTACTTGGATATGAGAACACAGACACCCTATACATGCTAGCACGCAGTTTCACCTAAACATGAATACACTGATAGCTATGTTCATTATCTTGTTGAAAGATTGCAGAAAAATTCAGAACAAAGGGACACATAATATAACTTCAGCAAATGTAGCAAATTTGTAATACTTGGAAATGATCAATGGTAAATATCAAAATAATTTTCATAGCAAAATTAAGAGATTAGGTTTGGGAAATACTTGCCACTGTTCAGTTCAGAATATTTTCTACTTCCAGACTTGCTTTGAAGAAAATTAAAAATACTGATTAATTGAAACCTGATGCACTAAACTTCTCAAAAATCCAGTGGCACCTGAAATCAGCCATGAACTTCATTAAGGCACTAGTAAACACAATAAAATATAAAATTTCATACGCCAATGGCATTTTAATTAGTAGTTAATATTACTGCTGACTGAGCAATAAAGATGCCTGACACACAGCATTTAACCTGATACCATAATTAGTTACATCTGTAAATCAGCTCTGCAAAACTGATTTGCAGACGTTTCCCATACAAATGTACAAGAACAATAATTACTACTGTCTTACAGTGCTTGAGGTCAGTTTCTAATATCTGAAAAATACAAAATATATAAAGCTATTTTTATGTATTATTAAAAATATTACAGCAATCATTTGAAAGCTTCATATGAATTGATCAGCAACCCAGGTGGAAGATTCGGAGTCAAACAGTTCAATGATATGGAGAATCTGATATTGTGTAACACCTGGCAACACACTGTACTACAACTGTGATCCATAGTTCATAACTTTGACTGGGCATTACACACCTTAAGAACCTACCTCACGTCTGTATCTTCAACTGGGAATGTTTTTACCACATGGATGGAATCTAGACATGCCAATCCCACACACAACACTTTTCCATGTTCAGGACTTGCTGAACTTCCAACCCCAGGTATATGGCTTAATACACTACCACACACATCATGTATACTGCTCATCATGACTGTCAAATTAGTCTTCCAAGACGGTGTGTACCTCAGCCATTCATCAAATCATAAATCTGAAATAGAATATAATGCCTAAGCACTCATCATTTTTCTTGTTGTATTCTTTTGAAAACAAACGGCATCCATTCGTATTGTCTGGGGAAGCAAACCTAACCCAAACTCTTTGATTTGTTCAACGAATGCCATGTATATTAAACATACACACCTCTACGGTCCAGTACTCAAGTACTGTGCAAAAAGATTCAGTGCAGTTCCAGTTCTGACATACATGCTCTAAATATATTACTCTACTTCAGCATATCAACTTACAAACGACCCTCAACACTGTCTAAGGGTCTCTAGTTCTAAGTTCACGTCCTTGACACGTGTTGGGATATTCATATTCCTTCATGTCATACTCGATTACTTTTGTCATAAGCCGCACCCCATTTCACGTTATAATTGGCATTATTATTACTGTTATCATTTAAAACGTCATATACCATCCATATATTTCACACCGCACACTGTACACCTTTCCACTTGCTATTTCAGCCAGTTCACATACTTGCAGACCTTGCAGAGCAGCCCCGTGAAACTCCCATGTTATTGGTTGGCAATATGGCCGCCATGACACCTCTGTGAAATACTGCTGCCATCTATGTTCAGCTTACATGACTAAATTAAAAATGACCTCCAGGGTCGAGAGCACAATCGGTAAGAAGGTATGCTACCTTAGCAACTATTTTGAGTGCTCCCCCCGCCCCTCAAAATGCTTCTTTCGCTACTAGCAATAAATACTTTTAGATCTCCTGTACTGCAATCTCTCTTTCCTTCTGGCGTTCCTACTAATAACCTATATGCATTCCTCGCCTCCCCATTCGTAATACATGCCCTGCCAACCTCATCCTCCTCGACTAGTGATATTGAACACAGTTCAAAGTATTCATTTCCCCACCAACCTATTTCCATTTTGAACTGTGTTCAATTTCACTAGTCGAGGAGGTTGGCAGGGCATGTAGCACGAATGGGGAGGCGAGGACTGCATATAAGATATTAGTGGGAACGCCAGAAGGAAAGAGACTACTGGGAAGACGAAGGTGTAGGTGGGTGGACAATATTAAAATGTATCCTAGTGAGATACGATGGTATAGATTGGATTGGACTGATCTGGCCCAGAATAGGGACCAGTGGATGGCTCTTGTGAACATAGTAATGAACCTTTGGGTTCTACAAAAGACTGGAAAATTCTTGAGTGGCTGCACAATTGACAGGTTCTCAAGAAGGGCTCAGCTCCATAAGTAAGTTTAATGTCACTTCACCCATATCCTTTGGGTTGGATCTGTGTGAAGTTCTATTAAACTTTGTCCCCCACCCTTTCCAAAAAAAAAAAAGTAACAGCAGAATAAGAGCCTCTGCAGCTCTGGAGTACAAGAGATTAGGTTGCAAATTAATTATCTGGAGAAAGTTCGTCACCAGGCCTGGAAAGTCATAACCTTTCTTTCACATGAAACACCTCTTTAACCAAAAGCACTGAACATTGTGAACTGTGACATACATGGAATACTTGTAATTAGGAAAGCTGAAGGTGGGGAAACTTGAAAGAAAATTCTGTTTCAATCAGAGATACATATATTAAGTCTCATAATTTACACTTGAAAGCCACAAAGAACACAGTTTTCCGGTTACATTTAAGTATTATAAATCATATATTGTAAGAAACAATACTCATGTTCCAATTTATTATTTTCATTAGAATGATGGAATTCGAGAATGTGAAATACACCCGTCAACCAGATTAAGACTGCATTTAATGATATAAGAAACTCTGATATATTCATCTTCACCAGTTCAGGACTGGGCAGAACAATATAGCAGAAATAATAACATATCTTAAAGAAATATAATGAATACTGAAAATCTGGTATCTGTTCACATTCCAGTTCAGTAATGGAAAGGTTTACATGGCAAAAGTAACACACCTTACAAAATAATGTAATGAATACTGACAATCTGTTATATATTCATCTTCCAGTTCAGTATTGAATAGGATTAGATAGCAAAAATTAGTAATATATGTTAAAGAAATGCAAGTACTATTGAAAATCTTATGTTCATGTTCACCAGTCCAGTACAGGTAGCATTATATGGCAAAAGCAAGAGAAGGAATACACTGTTACGAGCCCCACGCTCCGGCCGAAACTACGTTGGGAAAGCCTCGGGGATCTGGCAACACTGCCTTGGAAGACGCTAGGCAGCCCTGTATCCGCGGCCCACACCCAACCTGCCAGCGGTGGCGGGGGGCTAGCGGTAGCCAGAGGAGGCAGTGGTTAACGAGGCATTAGAGAGAGAGGTAGTGGAGGCTCCTAGGGGAGCGACGACGCCGCAGCACAAGGAACCGCAGGAGCAGCCGGCCGGGAGTTGTGGGCGCCCCGAAGTGCCCTACCTTGGAGGAAATAAAGGGGGGGTTTCGAACTTGGGCCAAAGGGCGGTAAGTAACGGAATACGGGCTTACCGAGGTGCTTGACCCCACTCAGGTAGGGGGAGGCCCTTACCTTGCCGAAGTAACTTCCACCGAATCAAAAAAAGGGATACGGCGGAACGGAAGAGTTTGGGCCCCTCCGGAATGAACTGGGGTAGTGAGGACCTTCCACTAGGTCCACTGTATTTTATTTATATTATACCAGCAATAAACGCAATTGTATTATGTGTAAACTGAGACGGGCAGTAATGGCCTACCCGGCCCTTAAGATCCCCCACCCCCGTAGCAAACAATTCGTAACAGTGGCGCCCGAACAGGGACTTGATTAGATTAGGTTTATTTCGATTTGACTAAGTAAATAATTTTGAGGACAACTGTTTCAGAGCATAACGTGGATGAGCTTGGTAGAGGCGAACGCCGTGGCTCCATAGGAGGGACCAGTTCAACGGGGCAAGTGTCCGGTGGACGAGGTGCCTTGTTTTTTCTCGATAGTAGAGTACAGTCAAAGTAAGTAGCTTGTTAATAGAATGGCAATGGCTAGTCCGTTGGGGGGGGGGGCCCTTCGGGTTATGACGTCATATAGTACGGCGTGGATTCGTAAGCTACGGAAATCAGATTTGGAATGGGAACTGGCCCGTATAAACCTGTCAACAGAAGGCGCTCGGGAAGAATTACGAAGGAGGCTTACCGAGTATGTAAGGGCCCATCCCGAACAGTATATTAGGGTAAATTGGATTTTTCAGTTGGACGAAGTTACATTGAAAGCCGAGCTGGAGGATTGCGGGTTGGATGTAACTGGGTCTAAAGAGGATTTAACACTCCGCTTATTCCAGTATGTTCGCGACCATCCAGAGGAGTTTTTAAAATTTCCTTCCGATTTAGGGGAAATAAGTCAGGGGGTTGAAGGCCGCAGACCTCTCCCATTAGACACCGTCTGGAAATTGGGCTTGAAATTTACGCCGGACGATAGTGTGCATACCTTCTTTGAAAGGCTGGGAGAATTGAAATTAGCATATGACGTCAGTGATGAATCTATGGTACGCGCGGTACCCGTGCTACTGAAAGGTCAAGCTGTATTGTGGTTTCGAAATAATCAGAGTACTTGGGATACCTGGGAAGATTTCCTTATTAATTTTAAGGATAGGTATCTCCCCGCAGAGATAGATGATGTCCTTACGGAGGAAATTCGGGTGAGGACCCAAGGGGCCGACGAATCAGTCGCTGATTATGTAACCGCCATTAGGACGTTAATGAGACGCCTCACTAAAGCGCCGACCCCTGCAGAACAACTGCGATTGTTGATGAAGAATCTCCGTCCAGAAGTGCGATTGTATATACGAGATTGTGACGTAAATTCGTTTGCGGAACTATTGGCTATGGGTAAACAGTATGAACAGTATAAGCGGGAAAAGGAAAGGTTTAGGCCTCCGCCCGATATCGCTCAAGCTTTGATCCCCGAAGTAGCGTACCGACCTAAGAAGTCGGGAACAGTGAAAAAACTGACGCTTTTGAATTCGGCTACGAAGCCTGATTCGAAAGGCAAAGACAGGCAGGCTGGGAGGCAGACTTCCACTCCACTGGCCAGCCGGACTAAGACGTGTTGGAATTGTAATAAACCTGGCCATTTCTTTTCGCAGTGTAAGCAGAGTAAGAGGACATTCTGTCATATATGTGGGAGGCCGGACACAATAGCGGCGACGTGTGGCTGTCAAAGGCCGAGGACAACTGGGAGGAACAGAAGTCAACAGGATTCAGCTGCGTCCTCTCCGCAGCGGGTGGGGACTCTGTCCCGAAAGACAAGGGAGTATCACAGAAGGGACGGGGACGCTACAGGTATGCGAACCATCCATGTTCCTTCGGAACACAGGTGTTATGTGCAGCTATCGGTGTACGATTACCCTCTGTTGGGCATGGTGGACACGGGGGCTGATAAGTCATATATGGGGGCAGGGCTTTCCGTTTGTGTCAGTCGTTGGATATTCCTGTCAATAATTATGCTAAACCCCAGTATGTCCAGCTAGCGGATCAGTCCACAGCGAAAGTAACTGGGTCCGTAGAGATACCGATACAGCTACAGGGAAAGGCCCATTTAATTACTTGCCTTATCCTCCCTAATCTGTGTGTTGATGTGATTGTTGGATTAGACTCTCTGTCCAGGTTAGGCTTGGTACTTAATCCCGCTGAAAGGACTTGGTATTATCAGTCTTGCCCAGAAGAGCTTTTTCCGTTTGTGGAAGACGACACGGTCGAGCGTTCAATGGCTACCTGGAACTATGCGGGAGATACCGTTGCCAGTCTGACGGAGTTATCTCATTACCAGCGGACGAAGTTAGTCACCTTCCTGAACTCTGAATTACCCCGGTTTGATAAAGTTGCAGGACGTACCTCAGTTATTCAGCATACAATTGAGACGGGAGACGCGGAACCGGTGAAGCAACGATACTATCCGGTTACGCCAGTGATTCAGCAAGCAATCAATGCGGAGATCGATAAACTATTGCGGGAAGGAACCATAGAGCCCTCGACATCGGCCTGGTCCTCTCCGATAGTTATGGTGAAGAAGCCTGGAGGTGACTATAGAATGTGTTTAGATTTGCGAAAAGTCAATACCGTCACAAAGAGGGACTCGTATCCATTACCGTATATTGATGACATCCTACGTAAGTTGCGTTCAGCCAACTTTATTAGTACAATTGACCTTAAAAATGGGTATTGGCAGGTCCCACTGGAGCCTTCCAGTAGGGAGAAAACCGCTTTTACTGTGCCCGGTCGAGGGTTATTCCAGTTTGTGGTCATGCCGTTTGGATTGTGCAATGCACCGGCGACCTTTCAGAGGCTGTTGGACACGGTGCTTAAAGAAGAAATGGGGGATCGGTGTGGTTGCTATTTAGACGACATTGTAGTGGTTAGCGAAGTCTTTTCCGAGCATTTAAAGGTGTTACGGAAGGTCTTCCATAAATTGCGGGCAGCGGGGTTAAGGATTAATAAGGAAAAATCTCAATTTTGTAGATCTGAATTAAAGTATTTAGGTCATGTGGTTACTGCTGCGGGGATCGCCATGGATCCCGAAAAAGTATCCACTGTAGTGAATTACCCCGCTCCCCGGAATGTGAGAGAACTCAAGTCCTTCCTAGGTCTGGTATCCTGGTATCGGAAATATGTCCCCAATTTTGCAGACGTCGCCACCCCTTTGACGGGATTATTGAAAAAAAAATCGAAACTGGAACTGGTCAGAAGAATGCCAAAATGCTTTTGACGAGTTAAAGTTGAAACTGATCTCAGCCCCAATCCTCGCTTGTCCAGATTTCAGCCAACCCATGACATTGCAGACCGACGCCAGTTTCTCCGGATTGGGTGCCGTTTTGACGCAAGGCGACGATGGAGCGGAAAAGGTAATTGCTTACGCCAGTCGCGCGCTCTCGGAAGCCGAAAAGAAGTATTCCGTAACTGAGAAGGAATTGTTGGCTGCCTTATGGGCCATCAGGAAGTTTCGCCCTTACTTAGAGGGGTACCACTTCATTTTGTGTACCGACCACTACGCTCTGAAATGGATAAATAGCCTGAAAAATCCTTCGGGAAGGCTAGCCCGTTGGTCGTTAGAGCTGCAGGACTACAGCTTTGCGGTTGTGCATCGTAAGGGCACGCTTCATCAGGTTCCCGATGCGCTATCTAGGATTAATGCCCTAGGAGCTCCTATAGCGGATGAAACCCTGATGGATTTTGAGAACCCCCACGATGAGTGGTATGTGGGTAGGCGGCAGCAGGTCCAACAAGAACCGGACAAATGGCCTGACTGGCGAGTAGAAGGAAATCGGCTGTATCATCTTAAGTTAGACCAACTGGGAGAAGTGATTGATGGAACAACGACCAGGTGGAAATTAGTAGTTCCACAAGACTTCCGAGAGAAGATATTGTAGCGTATTTGGGCGTATATCGCTACAAATAAGTTCACGCCGTCTTCTGGTATGGCGAGTTTATTTCTTCGCTCGTTTACACACTTTACAACCATCTGCACTTGCAGTGCTACAATCACTGCTCACAATATTCCGGCGAGACTGACTCCTTAGACGGATATTCCAAACTGACTTCTTAGACGGGCGATCCGAAGCTTTCTTCTTCGAAGACTATTCCGCGACTTTCTTCTTCGAAGACTATTCCGAGACTCAAGGCTTCGTGTCGAAGCTGGGCTATTTATAACCTTGCCCGCGGTTAGGCAACGAACCCTTTGTTATAACAGTGGAAACGTCGCTTTGTTGGCTCCGCGTTTCCTACGCAATAACCCATTGTTATCGCATTGTCTCTGTGGGAACCTTCGCGTATTCTCGTAACCGTGGAGATTCGATGTTCTCGATACAACGGCTCACTGTTGGGATTACAGTATCGCTATTGTTACTTCTTATGCAACGGTCCATTCTAGCGTTTCCCTATAAGTTACTCCTCTGGTTTGCCGACACGTTACAATATTTAATGAGAACCACGATTTGCCGACAGCAGGACACCTGGGCATAATTAAGACGTTTCTGCGGATTGCCCAGGCTTACTTTTGGCCAGGGCTATTTAGGGACGTTGTTCGGTACGTTAAGTCCTGCGACGTTTGTCAAGCACATAAGGTGGAACAGCAGGTGCCTCGGGGCCAAATGGGATGTAGAAAGCAAGACGGTCCTTGGGTGACCGTTACGTGCGATATATTAGGCCCTTATCCAAGAACTAAAAAGGGTCATCGTTATATAGTCGTGTTCCAGGATTCCTTCACGAAATGGGTCGAATGTAAACCCCTCAGAGCTGCCACTACTAAAGCAGTCTTGGAAGCTTTTCAGGAGCAAGTTATATTACGTTGGGGGTTACCAAGAGTGCTATTGAGTGATAACGGTCCGCAATATGTGAGTAAGCTCATGGGCACAGTCGCTGAGACCTACGGTATATCCCAGACGTTTACTCCTTATTATTGCCCTCAGGCCAATCCTACTGAACGGGTAAATAGAGTAATTAAAACAATGATTTCTTCCTATTTAGGACAACATCACAACGACTGGAATCTCTATTTACGAGAATTTGCGTATGCCCTGAATACCGCCGTGCATTCGGCAACGGACTATACGCCGGCCTACCTGAACCTGGACAGAGAGCTGAAACTGCCTAGCGTGATGGACGCTTCGGAAGGATCTCCGGAGCTGGACCCTACTCTTCCACAGGAATGGGCTGAAAAAATTTCGGCGCTTCGAGACATATATCTCTTGGTACGAGATAACTTAGAAGAAGCGTATGAGAAAGCGAGTCGCCGATAAAACTTGCGACGTAGGGACTCGGTATTTAAGGTAGGAGATTCCGTACTAAGAAAAAACTATGCCTCGCGCTCAGCGGGCGAAAAGGTTACCGCCGGTTTATTGCCTAAGTATCTTGGTCCTTATACAGTTAAAAGACGAATTTCGGCCGTAACGTATGGGCTAGAATCCAGAAATGGCAAGGCCTTAGGCCGATGGCGTATTAAAGACTTAAAGCCCTACCATGGTAGATTATAGGATGACCGCGGGCTTTGTCAGAAATCCTGTGAGTAAGAAGTCAGAGAACTGACCCTCGTAAAAGGAAGAGAAAGGAGGGGGATATGTCGACACGCTCGCGCGCAGGGGGAACCCATATGGGAGTATTGTTGCAGGAGTAGTGGTGAACGTAGAGGGTAGAAAGTAGAGACTAAAGAGTGGTGTTGAACGTAGTGGGTAGAAAGTAGAGAGTAAAGAGTAGTGTTGAATGTAGAGGGTAGAAAGTAGAGAGAACAGAGGTGCCGTAGCTACCGCAATTGTAACGGGAACCCGCTAAGAAATGTATTGTGACATGTTGACCCCTACCTCCCCATCTGCACGTAGCGGTAACGTAACGCTCGCGTAATAGGCGAGTAATCACCCCGCATCCTGGCAGCTATGCGCGGTGACGTCACGAGCGGAGCCGAAGAGAGCCGAGCGGAGCCGAAGATAGCCGAGCCCCCGCAACCTGGTAACTATGCAAGGCGAGTCAACAGCGGTGACGTAACAGAATGACGTGGCACTCATTACGCAACAAGCAAGCACTGCAGCTATATAAGTGAGCTGCACAGTGGATGCGAGTCAGTTATAAAGTAACAGTCGCCGAGTCGAAACATAGCGGCCTGCGAGTGTGCGATACTTAAGAAGTCAGCGAGCGGAAGACATTTCGTGTGCTTTCCAGACATAGTGAGTGCTGTAGTACAGTTATACTCGGAGTGTGTAATTCAGGGAGACTGGTATAGCTCCCGCGTTATTAATACTTGAAGACTCTTGAAGACAGTGTTAAGAGATTGTGTTGTAGGGTTTGTAAAGAGTGGAAACCCGTAACATTGTTATAATCAATTGTAGCCGATAGTTGTAGATTGTTGAATAAACCAATTAACGATCTCTACGACGTCTTCAGTAACGAAACACGTTACAGTATATACGAAATTAACCTTGCGACTATATAGAGATGACATCGAGGCTGCAGGGATAGGGCCTCATGGAGTTAATTTAAGTTAATTTAAGGGCTAGTCCAAGGAAAATCCATGGTTAATGGCAGCAGCCATTCTGTAGCTGGATATTGATATAATTTCCGATGTATGCATACACACATATTTGCGAAGGTTTCTTTGGTTGTTTTGTACCACTATTGATGTGACTTCCGATGTATGCATACACACATATTTGCGAAGGTTTCTTTGGCTGTTTTGTGCCACTATTGATGTGACTTCCGATGTATGCATACACACATATTTGTGAAAGTTTAGTTGACCGTTTAGTACCGCTATGAAAGGTGTGACATCGGGGGAGTTCGCTCCAGAAACTCCCACGTTCAAAGAACAGGAGGCAGAGGACGCAAAAAAAATAATATATTTTCAGTTGTAAGACATAATCTTGGTGTCTTATATCCAATTATGTATTGTATCAGCTAGGAAACTCTTATGTTCAAGCGTATTTCTAATGTATAGACCTTCCCAGGACTGTACCCCTGGGTAAGGAAGCAACACGTTATGTAAATTACCCTGCAGAAACATTTGTTAAGGTACCGTAAGAAGGTCCTGAGATGTGTAGTAATCTATAGGTATAAGTAATAAGAGAGAGTACATATGTTGTCTACTAATCATCCACGCAGGTGACTGGTGGGGAATAAAGGCGGGACATACTGTATATTATGTTATGTGAGCCCGCCTAAGCAATTGTATGCTTGTAGCAGAGTTATTGGAGGGTAAATCTACTAGGAAGTGGGTGAAACTTGTAATTCTGAGGACTTAAACTTTTCCAATGCCTTATGCCTGGATTTATACTTTTAATTTGGCTAAGAAGGGTACTGGTAAGCCCGAGTAATAGGAAATTTTGTCCCGCTACGTGGCCCAAAATTTCATCCTAGGGAGGGAAGAGTGTTACGAGCCCTACGCTCCGGCCGAAACTACGTTGGGAAAGCCTCGGGGATCTGACAACACTGCCTTGGAATACGCTAGGCAGCCCTGTATCCGCGGCCCACACACAACCTGCCAGCGGTGGCGGGGGACTAGCAGGAGGGAACGTGCTAGCGGTAGCCAGAGGAGGCAGTGGTTAACGAGGCTTTGGAGAGAGAGGTGGTGGAGGCTCCTAGGGGAGCGACGACGCCGCAGTACAAGGAACCGCAGGAGCAGCCGGCCGGGAGTTGTGGGCGCCCCGAAGGGCTCTACCTTGGAGGAAATAAAGGGTGGGTTTCGAACTTGGGCCAAAGGGCGGTAAGTAACGGAATACGGGCTTACCGAGCTGCTTGACCCCACTCAGGTAGGGGGAGGCCCCTACCTTGCCGAAGTAACTTCCACCAAATCAAAAAAAGGGATACGGCGGAACGGAAGAATTTGGGCCCCTCCGGAGTGAACTGGGGTAGTGAGGACCTTCCACTAGGTCCACTGTATTTTATTTATATTATACCAGCAATAAACGCAATTGTATTATGTGTAAACTGAGACGGGCAGTAATGGCCTACCCGGCTCTTAGGATCCCCCACCCCCGTAGCAACCGATTCGTAACAACACCTATAACAACAGAAGTGAATAACAATGTAATGAAATGAAATAGGTAAAGAAATTACATAAATAGTCCTACCCACATTCAATCCTGATACTGACTCTGCTTCTCAGAGATCCATGTGTGTCAGAAAACGATTTCCCATACACTCGATTGAAATATAATTTCTTGAAGATAAAGGCCAGAATGAACTCTGACCCACTGAAGTTCAAGTATTCTGAGACGAAGGAAACATGTTTGCTTAGAGGCGAAGAGTTGGAGCTCAAGTTCAAAATAAGTTTCGTGTATGTAATCGAACTATGGTTGACCATGTTATCATTCACTGCAACATGTTTGCAAAGCAGGAAAGAGATGCAACTCAAGTTCAAAGTAGGTTTCTTGTGCGTAATTTAACTGTGGATGACGATGTCATCATTCGCTGCCACCTAATTCACCTTAATTATATCATTGCTAGTGTCGTCTGCTTTTCAAATATTTCTTAATTATCCTAAAACAGTATTTGTGACATATTCTACATAACTTGTATATGGATATACAGTTTCAGAAGTCAATTCAAGTCAGATGATAATGACGTTTGTCTGATTACAACTGGGTTCTGGGGCAGTAACTTTGGAAAGTAGTTCTCATTATTAGTCACTTCATTCATAAAAGAAACATATAGTGCTTACCTGTAGCCACTAGAGCATTGAGGCTTGCTGCAACAGTATGACCTGTGCAGCCAAGCGCACGTTCATTGAGCTCTGTGCTGTGGGGTTCAGGTGGGTGTCTGTTAGCCTATACAACAGGCGAAACGGCCTGGTTTTGTCGATTTCATTCAGTTTCAATATGTGGTCCCACTTAGCAATAACAGGAAGTTGGGTGCCCACATGTTCAGACTTCAACTGCACATCATGTTTCAGGAAAAGGTTCCGGGCGCACTTCAGAAGGTTGGGTGGATCATACACTGTTGCAATTTCTTGATTGCGAAATCTGAAGAGTGGTTTCCTTCTGGAAGCACCCAACAGTTTCAAGGCCTTGACATTGTTGGCACCCATGTCACACACAGTGGCATCCACCTTCAGGCCAGCATTCTGAAAGGTGTCAAGAACCTCCTTCAAGTATTGCACAATCATCTCTGCTTTGTGCTTCCACGAGTAAAGTAGTAAGCCACTGGCTGCTTCCACTTTCTCCGCAGGCCACGGATCATGAAGAGCAGAGCATGATTTGCAATGCTGCAAGTCCTGCCCTGACTTCCACAGTCCTCAAAACCCTCAATGCAGTCAAACTTCTGATTGAAATGCAAGTTCTCTCTGATTGACATTTCATCAAACATGAGAAAACAATATAGATCTCTACCAGACATTTTCTGCAGAGACTGTTCGAGTGCATGAAACACATGAGCATTGATGCCTGTCCTAAATGGAACAGTATTGAGGACAGACTGCAAGGATCATCTGGATGGGATGGGGGAGTAGTGTGCGGAGAAGGCTATAGGACTTGGGACTACGCTTAAGGAGAGACAGAGCGAACACTTTCTCTTCGAAATCCCACCTCCTTCCCTGAGGTCTCTGCCTGCTATACCTAATAATTGCTACCAATAATCTGGCAGCCTCTACAATGAGAGAAGATGAAAGTCTCTCCATGAGTGGATCACTGTACACATCACAGAGATTTTCCAACTTCTTTCCTTTTTATTTCTTTTTCAGTTTGCAGAGTGCACTCTCCTTATTCCGAATTTGTGCACATAATTTCCTTTTCCTCAGTGTCAATTCAGAAAGCGAAGCCAAATTAAGTTCTTTCAGCAGAGAACGCCTTGCTCTGGGCTTTGAGGAGGAACTTTGCCCGAGTGCCCTGTGGGGCTCTTGATGTGTAGTCTTGTCATTACTCCTATGACAACCCACTTATTCGGAACAGTTTGTTGGTCCTGAAAGGACCGCGGTTGATAATATGTTTGATCGGAGAGGTGGCGCGGCGCGCGCCGGTAAGGAGAAAGGCTAGCTACGGTGAATGGCTGGTGAAAGGCTAGTCGTTGAGCGCGGTCGCTGCAGCAGACAGGCGGTAGCTACGCCAGTTGCACAGTGTGTCAGGTACGACTACTGGCGAGTCCGTGCGGCCTAGTTGCCCAGTGAGTCGGGTGCGACCGGCAGACAGCCGTGGCAGTCATGCCTGGCGCAGCGAAGCGCCGATGTCTCCGTAGACCGAGCGCTGGCGACGAAGCCTGCTTGCAGGTGTTGCTTGACCGTAGACTGAAGTCGACTGATGAACTGAATACTAGGCAAGGCAAGGCAAGGTAATGTTGCAACTGACGGTCAGTCAGTCTGTCTGTCTTGGTGTCGAGCCCCAGCTGGGGCTCATGACCAGATATTTCTTTTCAATGAAAGTTACTGTCCTGTCTATGTGTAGCGCCCTCTCTGACGAGAGGTCGGGTCTGTCATCTGTCAGTCAGTCTGTATTAAGTCTATTGTCTGTATTTACATACATTTACAAATACACACTTAATCCTTACTTCTATGTACAATATATACACAGCCTCTGTCAGTCCAGGCTAGGTACAGCGGATTATGCCCTTTCATATATATATATATATATCCTAGTAGTATTAGCTACCACGGCAGTCTAGTCACTTGAACGGTCGTATGCCTGACCGCCGCCAAGTTTAAGCCTCTTATACTTTCTGTGTCGGGCTTCGCCTTGTCCGATGTTGCGAACATTCTCATTATCATGATTTTGTATGACTTCTGCTTGTTGCCTGCATAATTTTGTTATGTAATCATATACGTACGGGATTTTGAATGCCATGTGCAAATCGCGGACCGGTGTGCGCCTTGGAAAATTGCCAATCGTGCGGAGAACCTT